CTGCGCCACCAGGGAGGGCCCAAGCTCTTATTATTAATGTTTTATAAAGATAAACTTCCTTTAGTCATCAAATTTACTTTCTAATATTTTTAATATTCTTTCTAACATTTGCTAACTTTCATCTGGGATCACTTTATTTTTGTTACCAATGGAATAACGTTTTGAAAATGTGTTCATTTTGCTTTCCATTTTGAAGACTATTATCATTGGGTAAGGATATTGCAATAGCACTTTGAAGTATTTGTAGATACTCTGCTGTCTTCTGGCTTCCATCATTTCTGTTGAAGATTCAGTCAGTCCCACTGTTAGTCATTCGAAGGTTGATTTTTTCTACAGTTGCCTTATAGATTTTCCTCTTTGAACTTACCTTTAATCAATTTATTTAGCATGGACCTATATATTTTATGTGGGCTTGGTAACATGCTTTGTCTATGTCATGATAAATTCCATTAACTTAAGAAAATTCTTGAATATGATTTCATAATATACCTCAAGGGTTAATCTGAGATACCAAAAGTCATATATGTGTTCAACTTCTCTATTATGCCTTACATGTCTTTATGTTTTCCATCGTTTTTGTTATTGTTGCTCATTTTCCATTATTCCCAATCTTTTATTTAGATATGCTACCTCAAATTAGGTTTCTATTGTTTTTCAATTGTATCTTTTACTATTTAAAGCTCATCGATTGAGTCCATGTACTAGACATAATGTGTTTCAATTTTAGAATCTCCGTTTGATTTTTAAAAAGCACTTATTGTTTGCTGACATTTTCCATTTTGCTCTTGATATCCTCAAATATATTATTGGGTTGTCAGAGAAGTCATGATGCATTTTTCTATGCATTTCAAAGAAAACACTGGCATGACTTTTCCAATAGCCTGATAATTACCATTATATTAAAGTCTTGGTCTGATATCTGGATTAACTTGATCGACTTTGGTTCTGTTTCTATTTTCTCTTTATCCCTTGGCCTTCAGTCATTTTTTTTTCCTTCTGGTATTCTTGGTATTTTTTGATGTTATGACAAGTACTCCTTGTGGACTTTGTCATGCCAGATGACCCCAATAGGAAAAATTTGAGTTTCTAGATTTTGTGAACATGTTACAAAAAATATATTTACCTTTGCCTCTGGCACACAGAGTAGGGACAGATTATTTTAGCCAAAACAGGAATTTTACTATTACTTGTTCAAAATAGTCATTTTGAAATATGTTTTCAGAGCTAGTCTGTTTTTGGATAGCTGTGAATCCTAGGTTGCATCCTGCATTTACCCCATCTAAAATTTTGGGTTTTATGAAAATCCTTCCTCCATGGTGTGTCTTAGACACTAACTTTTGTCTCAGTGCTCTGAAACTACCAACCTCCTGTTCATTGCTGCCTAAACATCAGCAAATCCTCAGTTTGCACATCTTTGTTTAACTACGGCTTTTGTAATTATTTTGTGTGAACTGGGAGACTTGTATTGCTAATCACTAATCTCTCATAACTGCAGTGGTTACAAAGTCCATACTCTCATCACTCCTATAAGCTGCCTCTTAAACAAAAATTCAACCAAGATCCACTCATCAAATAATTTGTAACCTAGTTTAGAGAAAATCTCATAGAAAGAGATTTTTTTTAACCAAATAGAATATTACAATACTAAACTAAATTTAAAAGATCTGGAGACTTTTTGAGGTCATAGAGCATGCTTAATTAATTTTTATATTTTAATGTTTGATACTTTTTGTTGAATCTTTAAAAACTTGTTGAATTGAATAAACAGAATGCATTTACTCCAGTAGTTTAGAGTAGAATAAAAAGGTTGTATAATCCACAGTATCCAGAAACAGATTTTTTTTTTTTATTTTTAGGGATTCCTTAGTAGATGCATAAAGTTTAAGCAAGCTGATGTGAGAAGAAACTAAATCTAGTCACTGAGAAAACAGGTGCCATGCCTGAAGGTAAAGCTGAATGCCAGCTACAGATAACAGAGGATGGTTTGGGAACTAGGAAGTAGATGGATTGAGACAAATTATGTGGTGAGAAGTGGGATGATTGTGAGATTTTGGGCAAAAGATTTTTTGATAGTAGTTCCTTGGAATGTTAGTAAAAGTTAAAATAACAACTCAACAACAAACTCAAAACAAGTGAGAAGACATTGAGGTTTGGGAAACATTGCTTTAAGATTTGTATGCTGCAAGATTTCTTTGTATCTTTAACATGTACAATGTGAATTTCCAAAATTGTTCAAACTTAACACAGATTTTGTGGAACATAATTTGGGGTATGTGGACAATGAAGAAACCCTAGAGTGTTACACTATCATGAAATGTCCATGAAACTGAGGCTTTTTGGTATTGTTCACAGCTCTACCAACTGCATAGAGAATATCATCTAGCAAATTTATCTTATTGTTATATTTTAGTTGAATAAATTATTGGTTTTAGTGGATGAAGAAAAATGAAGTCAGGGTTTTGGAAGGGTTAATCTGGGATACCAAAACTGTGTACCAAAAAGAAGCTTTAAAGCTGTCCAAACTTACAGTGTTTCTCATCTATGGTGACATGATAACTGAATGGGCTACAGTAATATTTTGTAAAGAGAATTGATGAGATTGATCACAGATAAAGTGAAGGTGGAAGAAGGTTCTGAAGGTCAGGTGCTTGAAGAATTTAGCTGACTTTAAGGATAACAATCTCTGAGGAGAAGGGATTTCTCTGTAAGATTTTATTCTGTTTCTTTCCATTGCCTTATGTGTTCATAGGATCATAACATTTCTATGAAATTTTATCTTGTATTTGAGAGTATATTCTATATAGAAAATGCTCACAGATTTTCAAGCCATAAGTCTGGTAATGGGAGAAAATTTGAATAGAAAATATGGAAAAATCCTATTAAAAATCACGTTGAGTTTGAGTGAGAACAAATATATTGCACATGTACAAAAAATGCTGAACTTAGCCCAAAAAGCAACTTTTCTTCCATTTTAATAATTCTATGAATTCTACATATAAAGTATATAATTGCAATATTTAAATTGATGTTAAAAAAAGACTGAGTAATTGTTTTGAGCTATTTATTCCTCAAAAGTAAACAGAAGGTTATAAGTTTATTAGTAAGTGAGCACTGGATATGCAGAAGGGGCAGGCTATGAGATTGGAAATGCAGTTTCTCTGTAATCTAGGCATATGGGAAGTCAAACCAAGGTAAATCCAGACTACAATCATTACTTCTTATGTCTTATTAAATCCAGTGAAACCCTGAGGTAGTTGATTTCTCCAGCTCTAAAGAGGTAATAAATGGCATAGAAACATTATGGGCAGTTTTACATCCTATGGGGAATAAGTCTATCTATCCATTAAATAAGAAGATATATTATCTTACACAATAATGATATTAAATAAAATATAAAATAACAATTTCCATCAATTCTGTGCATGCATGTATGTCAGAGACTATATGTTCCCCGATCACGGATTATTGGGGGGAAGAACAGGCAGGGTCTCAAGGTGGGTGCAGTGTTGGCAAACATAGATTCCTGAAAGGGGAAAAAGAGGAAAAGGGGGAGCGGGCTCGAGGAAGACATGGGAGTCAGTGTTGGGTGCAAGTCTTCCTGTTCTGCCTTCAGCAGAAGTTTATTTTACACACTTTCAGCAAGCAATTAACATATAAATTGGGCTGAGATCACAATCTTTTTTTCTGAGAGCAGTTTGGGGTCCTATAGACCTTCAGCTAAGATTATAACATTATTGATCTATTAAAATGAAGATAAGTCCATAAAATTTAAAGCTAACATTTTTTAGTGATGGTTGGCTAAAAAATAAATTTCATTTAGACCTAAAATACTAGTCTATGACCTTGATTTTTGCCAAGACATCTTAGAAGGTAAAGTAAAGTCGGGGATTAGGGTTGAGACTGGGTGTAGATGTGAAGGATAGAGTAAGGTCTGGGCTAAGGTGGAGTAATTCTCTTGTAAGTCAATCACAAAGAGATATAGCAAAGTTTCTCAAAAGCTGAATAGAAGATTTAGGTGAAGTTCCTTATTTGAAAATTAAATAGAAAATTTAAGCAGTTCATTAGAAATAGAAGGATTGTGAGATAGTAGAGAGATGAGATTTGGGTTCTCGTCTGGACAGCAAAAGAATTCTGATTATTCTAGTACTGCCTTGTCTTACAATATTAATTTTGTTATAGTTATTTTTATTAATCAGCCAGTTGTAATATTTTTGATTCCAAGAGGACTTTCCATCCTGAGGCAGCGCTTGCTCACCTGAGCCAGGCAGCACATTATGAGGCTGAGGCAGTCTAGTAGAAAACTGATGATTGCTTGGAATATTTTGATTATACAAAAAAGGGGGCTCATAACATCAGCTAGCATGGAAATTCTGATTTTTCAGAGCATTTCCCCTCCATCTGAACCATGTCTGATGACAGAAGTTGCATAGCTTGTGCCCATGTATACAACAATGAATGAATACTGTGTTGTAGTTCCATAAATAATACCTTCTACCTATTAACCAACTATGCTTTCCATCTAAAAATCATGTGCCCGCCCACTAGTGGTTCATCTGAGACTCTTGGGAGATGTTACATGTATGATGATGACAATTAGGAATAATAATAAAATTGGTGGGATAATGATTACTCAAAATATTTTACAAGTAAAAGTATGATATATAAGGATCAGGTGTTGGTGGGGCTAGAAATAGCATGTCCTTGCTGGAAAAGTTGTAAGTACCTAGGTATCAAGAATCATTTTTTCAAAATATGGATTTCATTGATTATACCTCAAATCTCTCTTTCATTACACCAGTGAGAAGAAGCTCATTACAGATGCTCTCAATAAAAATCAGTTTTTGAAGAGACTAGATCCTCAGCAGATCAAAGACATGGTGGAGTGCATGTATGGGAGAAACTACCAGCAGGGGAGCTATATTATTAAGCAAGGAGAACCAGGAAACCATATCTTTGTGCTGGCAGGTAGGTTTCATATATTTTTCTAGTTATTGTATAACAAATGTTTTATTATCTTATGATATTTTGCAAACATTGTGCAAAAGTTTCTTCTTACATTTATAGAAAATATATCAGCTTGAATTTATGAAATAGTAACACTGCTGGTCTAATCATGATAATAATACTTGATATTTAATGACTGCTTTCTATAAGTCAGGCTACATGTTGAGCCCTCAGAGAGATCTTATTTCATCTTCTCACCAACTGTGAGGCAAGAGCTGTTATCTTCATTTTAATAATCATTAACAAATATGATAATGTCACAGAAAGGTTATATAACTTACCCAAGCCCACACAGAATTCTTAAGTGGTGGAGGTAAAATGCAAACTTAGAGAATCTGACTCAAGGGTCTATATTTTAATCACAGTGCTACTAACTCATCAACTATAAAAAGGTATTCCCACTCAAAATTTTGTACTTATGTTGTTATTTTTAGATAATTGTACCAGGAAAAGGAAAAAAAATTTTTTTCTATGAGATATTTTGATTATGTGTCAATAATTTGAAAAGATAATCAAGGTACATTTAACCACAAGACAAATCCAATGAAATGATTTAAGATTAAGACTAGTGATATTAGAGCCACTTAAATGCTTAGCCCCATATATAGTCACTGCTTACATGCTGGGAAGACTATAATGGTGAGATAGGCAGAGGCTTTATTTTTCAAATGCACACATTTGACAGTGATACTCGAAACGGTCTTTTACATATAGAAGCAAGAATGAGCTGTACATTACTTATGGTTATTGAATACTGCTAAATTCTGAATTTCTTCACCTTTTTGAGTTTTAGGGAGAAAAGTTAAACTGGCTTGTCCAGATGGAGTTTTGCATTGTAGTTCCTGGCAATCTAAGCAATGCTTTTATTCTTGTATCCTTGCAACCTTAGGCATGGGCAGATGTCACCTATATAAACAAGTTAATAAACTTGTACTATTCTATGTGTGCATAAAATGTTGTTTTTATATACTTTGAAATTTAAAACATGCTGGTTTCATTTTAATTGGTCATGTATAATTCGTCATATATATCTTTGTAGACTCTTTAAAATTGCACAGTCATTCCCAAGTAATTACTCTATTCGAGACAGGAGTTAGAGTCCAAATTTAACCAGCTCTCAAGGTTTTAGGGATGGGTGATCCAGAGGAATTTTCCCCTTTCAACTTTTTCTCATGGCCATTCCCTTTAGCACTATTAAATTAGAATTGTCAATACTATACCATTTGACAAGAGAAGATAGGTCATTCCAAATATTTATGGAACATGCTAGAAAAGGCTGGAAAGGTCAAATCAGCCTACCTTGGTCTTTGCCTGTAGCTCTGGTCAAAGACCTGGGAAAGAAAAGTTTGTCAGCATCAACAGTCATTGAAATCAAGGCTATTACATACGTGGACTAAAAATTGGACAGTTTCTTATTTGTCCTGATTTTATTGATTGAACACATTCTTAATTAAAAATACCTCCTTTTTGGCCCTCCCTGGTGGCGCAGTGGGTTAAAGCGCAGCACTAAGAATGAAAGCCACTTCCGCATGAGTTCAATCCCTGCCTACCTGCCCCGGAGGTGACCACATGGCATGGCGGACCTCTCCTGACCCGCTCGCTGCTCCCTTCATCGATCTGTCTGTTCTACACCCCACTCTGTCTCTGGTGAATCCTCTCGCCCTCCGCATCTCTGGCCTGTACCCCAGTTCTGTACGAATAAATAAATAAATATTTAAAAAAAAATACCTCCTTTATAAAATATAGTATGAATTGCAAATAGTAAAATGTACTTAGCTTAAGTTTTTGATATTCCACTTAATTTTAGAGTTTTGCTCAAGACCCATGAGACATAACCGATGGAATCCATTAAGATCCATGTTAGCAACTTCATGGTAGCACTAAAAGGTTTTAATGAAACAGTTTAGTTGCAATGGGAAATACTGTATTACATTACTTATCTGTAGGATATGAAACAAGAACAGTTTATTTTTCACTAGAATATAAATTCTGTCAGAATAAGTATCTTTTGTTTTGTTCACTCTGTTTCTATGGCATAAAAACCAATTCTTGGCACAATGTAGGGAACTCATGTCAGATTTGTTGAATGAATTAATGAATGAATGCACAGAGGTGGCCAGAGCTATTTAGTGGTGAGTTATGAGAAGGAAAGCCTGATTAATTCCTCAAAAGAAAGAAAAAGTGACCTCACCACTTTTCTTTCTCTAATTATGTAGGTCTTTTGGGTATCTGATTTTAGTTTATTTGTGCTTGTTTTGAAGGAAAAGTAGATAATTGCCAGGACTAAAGAATTAAGAAGGGGTGGACTGTGTTTCAGCCTTGACCGCCAATCTTTGCCTAGAAGATCAGTATTAACAACTCCTCTTTTTCTTTTTTATGACTTTGTTTTTTTTTTGCTGAGTGTTTTTTTTTTTTTTGCTTTTTTTTTGGTAAAATGATCCTTTATCAGATATATGTTTTTTGCAGAAATATTTTCTCAAGCTGTGATTTGTCTTCTAATTCTAATGACACTGTCTTTCTCTTGGACTTTTTAAATGCTTCATTTGGTAACTCATTTTAATGAATGAGAGATTGGACAATAGTTGAGGCAAGGTCACACAGCCAGTGGCTAGTCAGAGCCAGGAAGTCTGACCCCCAGGGCCTCTGCACTTCTCAGTTAGAGCAATTCATCTGTACAAGGGAGATAGTTTTAATGTGCTATGTTTTTTCATGGACTAAATGAATTTTAAGTAAAATACTTGTCATCCACTGCTTCAGGGAAAGAATTTTGTAACAATGATTGTAACATTAGCAATAGCTGATAGGAAGCACTCACTTTATGCTAGCTGTAGTTCTAATTTCCCTACGTATACTGGTTTATCTAGTATTTGACAACAACTGTATAAAGTATGCATCATTACTATCCTCATTATTATAGAAGGACCTCATGCTTAGGGTTTTGTTTGCTTATATAAAAGATTTGAGTCTCACTGTGAACAAACTAATTGTAAGTGTAGAGCTGATTTCATTTTTCACACTTAGGACACTATTATAATGGGAATCATTAAGACATCTTACCTGTATTATTTATATACTTTATGATTGTATTGTCTTTTTAATTTATGGATTATATGTTTGTTTTGATTGTTTTTCTTAAATTCAACCTTTCAGAGGGCCGACTAGAGGTGTTTCAAGGGGAGAAATTGCTGTCAGCCATTCCTATGTGGACCACATTTGGGGAACTAGCCATTTTATACAACTGTACAAGGACTGCCTCTGTGAAAGGTAACAGGATGATACACTGGTTTGAATTGTTGCATAGTATTAAAGATAATCTGCTTAAATCACTGATACCTCCTCATTCAGAGTCTTTTGTCTCCTTGTATGTTCTGATTAATAAAAATGCTGCTTCTAAAAGGATTGATATTGAAACACTTGCCTCAGTAATTCAAACTTAAAACATCTTTCCATGAGATACTTGTACATTAAAAATGAAAAAATATTTCAAACTAAATGATCCCAATATTTACTTTTTTTAGTATGTACAAATCTACTTTTGGCTATCTCAAATGTTTGCTTTCTAGTCTTCATGAGTTTTCTGACCATATTATAAACCAGGAAAAAAAAAAGGAATTGAATTAACAGAAAGAAATAAATCAAAAACATTGTGAGTTCATGGGAGTTTTCATGTATGAGTTTTGGGATTAATTTATTTCCCCTTAGAGTTCTTGTTTTTAATTGTTTTCATTCAAGGTAATCTTGGGTTTTCTTATGATTTTTTTTATGTGGTATTTCTTGGTTTTTGGGTCTGGGCTATGTGTCTTAGGATTTTTGCAATATTTCATAAAAATGCAGATAACCAGGCTTGATTACAAACCTGAATCATACAAACTTGCTGTTTTGCTTTGGTTTTAGAGGTCTGTATTTTTTATTAGAATCCCAAGATGATTCTTACTCTTTCAAAGTTCAGTAAGCCAAAATTTTGCATTTTGAGCTATTCTTTAGACTCTCATTATTCCTTTGAAAAACTCTGAACCATAATTTCAAATAGATTTTTTAGTAATGTTACTCCTGAACCTCTTACTTTTCAGATTTTATTCTTGCTTTCAATCTGTCTTATTAAAAAAATTCTCAAAAACCATCTTATATAACCTCTTTCAAAATGATTTGTATACATTTTATCCCCAAGTAACCATAGAGATCTTAAAATACATTGGTTCTCATTAGCAACAATGTCTAAAACACATAAAAAGCCATCAGACACACAAAAACCCATCACACACACACACACACACACACACACACACACCTCTAGCTTTCAACTACCTTTCTAGATTCTTTACTCTCTAGATAAGCTACAGTCTGGCTGGTATTTTTATTTCACAATACAAATCTAAAATGCATCCTGATGATATAGTACATAATTGGAAATTGCAAACTAATTTTAATATCATCCTAAGCAACATATAATTAGAAAGGAAATCTTTTACTATTCACTTCTAAATCATGGTTCATTTCAAAGCCAAAAATGATTGTATAAAATTAGCCACTATTTATATCACACTTCCTTCCATTTGCTTGTTTAAATAATGATTTTCCAAGAAATATTTTATGAGAACATATTACAAATTTACTGATTAACATTTTAGAATATTTTCTTAATGTGGGATTAAACAATATATTTTTGTTTTCTTGATTTTTCCAAAGCTATTACCAATGTTAAAACTTGGGCACTAGATCGAGAGGTATTCCAGAATATCATGAGAAGGACAGCTCAAGCTAGAGACGAACAGTATAGAAACTTCCTAAGAAGGTAAGAACAACACACTGAAGGAAAGAGCAGACAACAGTGTAGCTATGTTGTGGACTTGTTTTTACCAGAATAATGACTTAATTGTAACATCTCTCACTTAAGCATTTCCTACATAATTAAAACAAAGGTACAAAAGTATTCCCTTGTAGTAAATGCTAGTATATGGAAAAAAATAGACCTCATTTTCCTTAGTTTTCTGCTGTAATTTTGCCCTTGTTTTTGTGGAGTAATCATTGTACATGGTACAGAAAAATGTGCAGAAGACCCAAACATAGTCACCTGAGTTGCTCAGTTAACCTTGAAAGGCATCCTGTAACTGGGAAATGGATAACAAAAGATGAGTTTTTAAAAAATGCTTTGCTGAGAACAATATTAATATGGCTGTGTTTTATGATTCTCTTTGTTTTCCTGAGACATTCTTTTTCCCCAGTTACTGTCACTCATCTTCCAGATTGCTATTATTTGTAACCATCTAACATGCCAAAATGTTACTATGCTTGTCAGGATGACACACATCCTTGGAACTTCCTCACTTTGTGAACTGCTCTCTTTCCTGACAACCTGGACACATCCATTCACAGAGAAATAAAAAACTCATGTGACATATCATATGGGTTAAGAGAATGTGCTAGTACATATTCCTCTTCTTTCCTTTCTTCTTTTTGTTACCTCATTCACACACTCATTGAACAAATCCTTATGCCCAGGGCTTAAACATTGAAGATTCAGTAGGGAACAAGATAAACCTGATTTCTGCCTTCCTGAGGGGTTTGGGGGAAGAGACTATAGACTTTTCCTAAAATCAATTTCCTCTTTATCTCTAAAGTATTAGGTGATGTATATGCATATATATTTTAAAGATTTATTTATTTATGCATACAGAACTGGGGTAAAGGCCAGAGGTGCGGGGGCCATGAGAGAACATTTACCAGAGACAGAGTGGGGAGTAGAACAGGCAGATGGAGTAAGTACACTGCTGAGGGGAGCAGCGGGCGGGTCAGGAGAGGTCTGCCACGCCATGTGGATCACCTCTGGGATAGGGGATCGAACTCATGCTGAAGTGGCTTTAGCTTCTTAGTGCTGTGCTTTAACCCACTGCACCACCAGGGAGGGACCATTAGGTGATTTATTTACATGATAAAATTTTCACTAACATAATAGATCCATAGCATAACAGATTGATTAGCATGAGCTAATCAATGAATTTTGGTTATCCATTTACCTTTTCATCAATAGGGGAACAGATGAGATAGATGTTTTGTAATATAAAATCAAGCTTTTGCACTTACATCTTTTTATTGTTATATATGTGATATTGATGTAGTTTTTTTTGGAGATGAGATTAGAGTATGGGGTTCACCCTGAGCTCACCAGAGCTCTTCTTTCCTGCACACAGTGAGTTCCCCAGGCAAGTTTCTACATGAGACAGAGATGTTAGTTATATTTATTTTTGGAAATATTTATTTATTTATGCGTATAGAATTGAGGTACAGCCAGAGGTTCAGGGGCAGTGAGAGGATTCACCAGAGACAGAGTGGGGAGCAGAACAGGCAGATGGACTAAGTGTAACAGGGTGGTCCCTAGGAAAAAGGGAAGTTCCAGGTTCCCTCCCCCAACCAGAAGGAGGGTGGAGCTGAGCAGAGAAAAAGGAGAAGAGAGAAGGAAGCTGGATGGAGAAGGAGGAGACCTGAGGAAGCCACATGGAGCAGCAAGCATGTGAGGAAGAAACTGGGCTTGTTTCCTGACCCTGGACTGGTTAAGGCAGATGTGGGTGAGAGACCTGTAGGAAGTGACTATGGCAGTGTTTATATTGACTTTGGTTTTTCTATTTTCCTCCCAGGTTTGTCTGGCCATTTCTGACCCTTTTCCATGGGTCCCGGCCAGCAGGTGCTTTAGTCTAGTGGCAGCTTTCAGGCCTTGCTTTGGGCCAATCCCTTTTGGGTTGACTTTTGCCCACGAGGGTCAGGTGTTTGATTTAGAAGTTATATTATTTGTGTTCCGTATTGTTTATTTACTGTATTAAAATCCCTTTTCATTAAAGTTTTATATGTCTGTCTTATTGCGGCGGATGGCAGAACTCACTTAGAGCAGGCAGGTTTGGGGGCTTCAGGGGTTTCTCCCTCTCTCCCTTTCATATAACAGATTTTGTCCTATAACAGAAGTACACTGCTGAGTAGGGCAGCGGGCCGGTCAGGAGAGGTCTGCTGTGCCATGTGGATCACCTCCGGGGAGGAGATTGAATTCACAATGAAGCGGTCTGGCCTTGGCTTAGCTTCACAGTGCTGTGCTCCAACCCGCTGCACAGCCAGGGAGGGCCCGTTAGTTATATTTAAAGAGCAGGTTTAATAGGGGAAGGGACAGAAGAATAAAGGACATTTGTTCAGACACAAGTGAGCAAAAAGAGCTGCTCTGAAAGGGATAGTTTTGCTGAGAGTGGCCTGCATGTTTGCAGGCGGGAGGCCTAGAGGAAGCTGGCTCTGCTGTGGGAGGTCAGTGAAGGGAAGTCCGGCAGGGTACAGGTCACACTGTTACAGGACAGGGAGAGAGGGGCACCCCTGAAGCCCCAAACCTGCCTGCTCTAAGTGGGTTCTGCCATCTGCTGCGTCAAGACAAAACATAAAATTTTAATGAAAAGGGACTTTAATATAGTGAATATACAATACGGAACACAAAGAATATAACTTGTAAATCAAACACCTGAAGTTACCCATCCCCTCATGGGCAAAAGTCCACCCAAAAGGGATTGGCCCAAAGCAAGGCCTGAAAGCTGCCACTAGACTAAAGCACCTGCTGGCCGGGACCCATGGAAAAGGGTCAGAAATGGCCAGACAAATCTGGGAGGAAAAGAGAAAAATCAAAGTCAATATAAACACTGCCATAGTCACCTCCCTACAGGTATCTCACCCACATCTGCCTTAACCAGTCCAGGGTCAGGAAACAAGGGCAGTTTCTTTATCACATGCTTGCTGCTCCATGTGGCTTCCTCAGGTCTCCTTGTTCTCCATCCAGCTTCCTTCTTTTCTTCTCTGATTCCTTCTCTTCTCTCCTTTTTCTCTGCTCAGCTCCACCCTCCTTCTGGGTGGGGCAGGGAACCTGGAAGTTCCCCTTTTCCTAGGGACCACCCTGTTACAATGGCAGGCAGGAGACTGCTGCCCTGCAAAGGGAGAGAGTTGATGGAATGAAGCAACTGCATAGTCACAGGTGGGCAGAGGACTGCTGCCCGGTGCCAGTGCAGACTGCCCTGATATAGTTCTTTTCTCTTTGGGCCCTCCCAAAGGGGCTCACTCCTTTGTGGGGTCACCTGTTTGCTGCCGATTTTGGATAACTATGTGGAATCCTAAAAGAACTGGAGATTTCACAATGAGCCAGTGGCTCCAGTCTCTATATCTTTAACTTCAGTTCTGTGCTTCTGAACCTCCCCACAGTAATCTGAACCCTGTTTGGGCCTTATACCTTGTGATAACGCACTAAGGGTCTGGATTTCTATGACCCGGTTAATGGTCATGTTAATTCCCTCCTGCCTCCACCTTCTTGTGTGAGTCAGGTTTGAACCTGGTGCTGTCTCTTTCAGATTTTCTCTTCTTTCCTGCATCAATATATACAAAAGATACATATATACAAATGTATAAATATAAGTTATAATAACATAAGTAAGGAACCCCATCAATTTATTTCCCACATGAGAAGTAGGATGGTGGCAATTTGTTCAAGTTCCCAGATTCCCTCTTTCATCTCTCAACCTCCCTCATTCTCTCTTTGGGGGTGGCCTACAATCTGAAGTTTAGTATTTAGCTTATAGCATGACGTAGGCCATTTTTGAACTTTCTAAAAATGTTATTCTGTTGCAATTCTTTTTTTGACTCAATCTTATTCTGAGATTTATTCAGTTCATTAGCTCAATGATCTTTCCTGTTGTAGGACACAGTACATTTATCTGTTCTCTCATTGGGTGTGTGCCAGTGTTTTGCAATGACAAGCACATCTGACACAGACATTCTTAAACACATCTGGCTAAGGTGCTTCAGGGTGCACATGTTCAAGGGGCAGTTTAGTGCTCTTTTCACAAATTAGATCCAGTTGTGTATTTTTGGAGTAGCATCATCTTTCCACATGGGTGTCAAATTTTAGCTGGTAAGAAAGAGATGTTTATCTTATAGAAATTGTATCAACAGTCCTGAATAAAAATGAATAAAGTCAAATAAGTTCCTTTAAATGAACAATTTAATCATATTGATTGGTTAAGTATACTGATTGAAATACCTGAGTTTGGTTTCAGCATTTATGTCCATCTCATTCATTATTATCTGTAAAATTGTTCCTATCATTTGCCTCTGGCTACCATGAATTTTAAAAGACATTACAGTATGACTAATAATCAAAGATCATTTCATGCTAATTCCTACATCCCTCTGGATTCAGTCTTTATTTAATTACAAGGATTTAGATGGACATCTGATCCTTCTCTGGAAGCAGAGCTCCTCAACCATGCTAATAAGAGATTTTGAGATGCGGAGAGAACACATTTCCGGAAGTGATTCACTTTGAAAACCAGCAACAAATGTAGAATGTCTTTCCCCAAATAGACAAAATGGGAATTTTCTTTCCTCTTGGTATCTTACTATTTTTTAAATTTGTCTATGATAAATGTCTGTAATTATATAATTTCAATGTCTTTGAGATTTGAAGATTTACTTTGGAAAAATTAATGTGTGTTTTTTAAATGCATGTGAAGAATGTCATTGCATAGAACTGTGTGACTATAATTTCATGCAGGAGATAAACAGGCTTCTTTTTAATTTTAAAGTGTATCCTTGCTGAAGAATTTACCTGAAGAGAAGTTAACCAAGATCATTGACTGCTTGGAAGTGGTAAGAAATTTCAAAGTAAAAATTACATTTTCTTAACAGACTGTATAAACTAGCATCGTTACAGGATAGGGAGAGGGACACCCCAAAGCTCCCAAACCTGCCATCTCTAAACAGTTTCTGCCACCTGCTGTATCAAGACTAAATGTACTCTAGTGCACAAGACCTACCTTCAATGGAAAGAAACGTTTATGCATTTAGTGTGCAATACAGAAAAGGGGAAGAGTGGGGGAGAATATAATTTCCAAATCAAGCACCCAAAGTTGCCCATCCCCTCGTGGGAAAATGCCCAGGTTGGCCCAAAGCAGGACCTGTGAGGCCTGAGATCCCACCACAAATCTAAAGCACCTACACATAGTGACCCATAGAAAAGGGTCAAAACCAGCCAGCCAGCTCTAGAAGAAAAAGAGCAAAATCAAAATCGAGATTAATGCTGCTTTGTTAACCTCCCCCAGAGCCCTACACCCACATCTATTTCATTTCAACCAGTCCAGGACCAAGAAGCAAATACGTCTCTCTGCTCGTTGTGCCTCCTCCAGGTCTCCTTCTGGCTTCCATCCTGCTTCCTCACTTCCTAGTGTTTTCTCCAGCTTCTTCTCTTCCCTGCTCACCTCCACCCTTTCTTGAGTGGGGCAAGGAATCTAGAACCTCCCCTTTTCCTTGGACCACCCTGTTACAGCATTATTAATATTTAACATTATAAATAACTGCAAAGGAAAAGATGGAAGATTACCAGTCCACAGAGACAGGAACCTTTTTCTATTGTGAAAAACCATAGGCCAACCCACATTCAATTAAGGGACTTTCCCGGGTTTAGGCAACTCTTCTGAAATGTATAAAAGCAAATTGGATTTGCATGTGCAAATTGACATTTGATTTACATATTTTAATCTTTTAGTATATTCTATAAAATTAAACTGCTTTACTCAAGAGCCATTTGATTTTCTGCAATTAACATTACAATCCCTTACAGAGTTCACAGTATAAAAGAGCCTGGTATGCATAATTAGGAAGTGAAGTAGAGAAAGGAGATATTGGGGGTTTTGATGACAGGCCTCTGAATCAGTTTGTGTAACACTTTCTACGTTAAAACTCAAGGCCATGAAAAGACGTTTAAAATATTGCACTGAAGAAGCACTTTACCTATTTTAACAGCTAGGAGAAAGCAGCATATTGGAATGTGCTCAAAAATTCACATTAGGCATCACCCAGATGGTTGGTTGTTGTCCAACACTAGTCAAGTCTTTTTGTGAGTAATGCTTTTATGACTTATACCTGGGATTCCAATGATATGCATTATATGAAAAATCTCTTCACATTTCAGAGACTAAAATTCAAAGCAAGCAACCTCCCTCCAACTTTTTTAAGGGTCAATTTTATTGAAACCAAAGTGACACGAATTTAAAAGAGGCAAGAAATAGTAAAGGAGTCTTATGCAGATGTTAAGCTTTTATAAAGCTGTTCTCAATGGGGGACAGGAAACCCCTGGAAGACTGATTGTTGACAGATTCATGCCTCTGTCAATCACAATATACAGTGTTAACTAATATGTGTTGAGAAGGCAGCCTTGACCATTTTATCCTTAAGTGTAAGTGACACAGTAATATTACCATTTGCAATTCATGGAACCATCTAGCAGTTTATCAATGACTGGCCATAATGACACAGAGCCTGGCCTTGTGTCCCCAAAGGGTTCAAATATGAAGTCGTTTCAAGAGGACTGCTTGCCTGAGCTCTCATGGGATTTTCACAATGTAGCATAACCCAATCACAGATGTTACAAATTAATAATTCATCCTAATTTCTGAGTGTTATTTTTAAAGCTGGAGAGGCCCTATATTTTTTGTTAACTGAGGAAATCTGTTTTTAATATAATACTAATAGAGTAGCTTCACCAGAGGGGGAATTCCATGCTGACAGCAAATATTAAAATTTAGTGTCATTAAAAATAAATGGTAAATTAGACATATTTATAGCAGCCACAGGCAATAGCTGCAAAATATATAGATGGGGGCTCAAATCCAGTTTTAATTAACACACAATTCGTGTTTGAAAGTCTCATCTTTTAAAATACCCCAGAAAGGCTTTATTATATCAGCATTTGCAGACAGCAGCACAGTTTATAAAGGGCTCTTTATTCCTACCTGGCAAACAAATGTGCCTCTGTAATGTGTGAAAATTCTCAAATATGAAAGTGATTAACAAGAGAGTAATGGATCTATTTAGTTCTAAAAAAAGCACATAATTTACCAGCATAGCTTGGACTAATGGCCCATCAGCAGGGTCCTCCTGACAACGCCAATCACTAATGCATCCGAGATGTGACAAGGAGCCCGCAGAGCCCCAGCACAGCTGTTCCCAAACTGGCTTCATAATCTCTGGGAAAAACAGGCTGGGTCTGGCATGTTGTTTAGGAATTGATTTGGGAGGTTTTTTTGCTTTTGTGCAGGGGTGAGAAAGAGGGATCAGACTCTCCCACCCCCAAGCAGTTGCTCTGCCATGTTGGCTAAGACTTTGACCAATGAACTCCTACATCAAATGGCCCTGCTTGTGCGATGCGCCAACTGCATGTCTTGCTGTAGCTTAAATCACCCAGAGCATTTCCTTCTTGAGACAGACATGGCTGTTAAGGCTCTTCTTGGAGAGTAGGAATGGTACTGGCTTAGTCACTGGAGTGCTGTAAGAGTTAACTAATGAGCATCATAATGCATGTACAGATTCTCAATGCAGAGTAACTATTATGATAATGAAAATGACAATGTGACTTCTGCACCTGGCATTTGTGCAGTACAACAGACAAGAAAAGAATGGAAGTGTTTGTTCTCACCTATGCTCAACCCAGTTAGCATGGATTGTGTGATTAATCCAAAGTCACCTGTTAAGGCACTTTGATATTTTTTTTTAAAGATTTATTTATTTATTCATATAGAACTGGGGTACAGGCCAGAGATGTGGAGGGTGAGAGGCTTCACCAGAGACAGAGAGGGGAGCAGAACAGGCAGATCAACGAAGTACACTGCTGAGGGGAGCAGCGGGCGGGTCAGGAGAGGTCTGCCGCGCCATGTGGTCATCTCCGGGGCAGGCGGGGATCAAACTCATGCAGAAGTGGCCTTTTGCTTCTTTGTGCTGTGCTTTAACCCGCTGCGCCACCAGGGAGGGCCAAGGCACTTTGATATTTGACCTTTGACCTTGTGACCCTTTGTCCTGTGACTTTCGCCATGCCACCTTTCACTACTTTGATGGTGGGTTGGGTCAGGGTTGGGGGAGATGATATGGAATGTCCCTGATTACTAGGACCACCTGTGGTGCTACTTAAAATGAAGATTCCCAGGGACTGCTGCATACTTACTGAATAGAACTGTGGTAGGGCCCAGGTACCCACATATTAACATTTTAACTATGTGATTCTTATACTCATTAAAATTTGAGAAGTACTAGTTTAAAGTCATGAAGAGAATATGTGTGTGTGTGTGTGTGTATGTGTGTGTGTATATCTATATCTATATATATTTTGAGTTTGCCACAGTCTGCCTCTTCATCCAGGAATTTTCCATTTTAATCATATTTTAAAAGTCTGGTCTTAAAGTCTTCCTTTCTTATTGCTGCTGCTAACACTTGCATAAGCCAGAGGCTTTTCCTCATTTTAATGATTACATCCAGAGCCATAAGAAAGTTGAAATAATTGTGATTTTTTCCCCCCTCAATTTACAGACCATTTTATGGTGGTCCCACGAGGTGTCATAGAAAGTTCACTAGTCCAAAGTGCAAAGAGTAGGGTTTGTAGTCATTCCTCTATCATTAGCAGCTGTCAGTTTATTGGGGTGGACATTAAGGTGTCCTCGTGCACAAAATAAGGGGATAGTGGAGTACACTGCTAGGAATACTCTCAGTATTTTATTATAGAATTCTCTATAGTTGCTTCACCCATAAAGAATGATTTCTGTTTTTCATTTCTGTGTTTTCATTTTTCTAGGCTCTGGTTCCCTGGCAATGAGTAATCAGCTACTAAATTGTGCTTGGGTCCATACCATCCAGGCATTTTTGCTTTAAAATTTCTAATGATCATATTTGGATGAACAAAATATAGCTGGTAACAACCCAAGTGACTGTACTGTGTGCAGATTTTTAAGCAACCAACTTGGGTACACAATCACATGATACTTGTACTAGTGAGCAGATTAAGGGGTACCGTGGGATGCCCCAAACCTAAATGGGTCCAGACTTCCATGTACACAAAATCAAAACATACTCTTATATGAAAAGGAATTTTTACTGGGGTTAGTGTGCATCGAGAGAGAAGAAGAAAGAATACTCTGAATAAAACATCCAAAGTCACTCATCCTCTTGAGGCTGATGTCCAGCCAAATAGGGCTGGCTCAAAGTGGTGCTCCTGGGCACAAAAGTTTGCCACCTTTTAGTGGAGAACCTTAAGAACGGGATCAATGGAGCTAAAAGGAGCAAATTGAAGTATAAATCAAGACAAAGTCTGCCATTGTTAGCCTCTACATGTGTCTCTCCTCCATGTGACTCCTTGAGGTGCCCCAATCCTGATGCAAGTTCAGAGCCTGGAAGCAAGTACACTTCTTCTGTACGTGTCTCTCTTGAGCCACCTGTTATTTATGCCAGAGCTTCTTTGACCTTGCAGTTCCATCTCCTGGTTCCCAGTGCTATTCTTTTTTTTAAAGGTTTACTTATTTATGCATATAGAGCTGGGGTACAGGCCAGAGGTGCAGGGGTGCTGAGAGGATTCACCAGAGACAGAGTGGGGAGCAGAACAGATGAACGAAGTACACTGCTGAGAGGAGCAGTGGGTGGGTCAGGAGAGGTCTGCTGCACCATGTGGGTCACTTCCAGGGTGCCGATCGAACTCATGCGGAAGTGGCTTTTGCTTCATAATGCTGTGTTTTAACCCGCTGTGCCATCACGGAGGGCCCCCCAGTGCTATTCTAATGGTGGTGTGAAAGTGAGGAAGGAAAACTTGGCACTTCCCCCTTTGGCAATGCTTCTGTTATACCTGGAGGTTGCCCACATATCAGCTATCTGAGTGTCTGTCATCAGTACTTTTTTTGCAATTAATGAAGATTTCTAGCCACACACTAAAAACTGTAAAGCAATCAAGCTTGCTTTTCTGTCTTTGTCCACCATCACATTGGAATTATTTTCTTCTGATTTTCTATGTTCTATTTACAGGCACCAGCATTTTGCTAAATTTTTCAGAATGAACATTTTCTTTACAGTGAAAAAAATCTTTCCATCTGTAGCTGTTGTTGTTTTTATCGTTTGCTCTTAACCTTTATTTCTCAGTCTGCACTGAAATTGATTTCTTTATTTTTTCTCTTGCTGTACACTAAGTAACTACTTTTGAGACATTCTCTTTTAAAACATCTTTTTTACACTCTAGGTCACAATTCATTAGAACATCATGAAACCAGCTACTGAGAGGAAACTTTTTTTTCCTAGAGTAGTCAGTATAAACATTGTTTCGAAAAATAAGTTCCACTTTATATAAAAGTCTTATGTGTGCATGCTCGCTTGTATTTGGTTGTATCTGTAAAGTAATGTGTTTTTTACTGTAGGTCAGATTAAAAATTGCTCGAAAACCATTGCTCCACAGGGTAGGGTCTGTGACTCCTTGGTTTTCTAAGGGACCCTTTTACAGTGTAGCCACAGGACAATAACCACACTGTTTATAGTCCTCTTGCCGGTCTCTGTGACCGCCTGGCCTGACTGGCTACACTCCCCTTTTGACAAACACTGGTCAGTCTAGCATCGTAGCCAGTACTTACCACTATATATTTTTGGTCTGACCGACCTCCGCAGCCTTTTCTGATCTATGACAGCACTTTCAACACACTGGGAGGTATTATTTATCTTCCTCCCATGGTTTGGGTGACAAAGAAGCATCCTTGGGAAAATACCACAAGGAAGGTTACCCCTTAGGAAACAACAAAACACTTTCTCAGTGTACCCTTTCAGGCTTCTCGTTTAACTTGTCTTACTGACAGGAATTAAAGCCACATGTCCATACATGCCAGAGGCTTTATAATAACTGAAGATCAGTTGAGAGTTCAAATACCCTCCATGTTCCTTTGCTCCATGTGGGTAACAGGGACAGGAGAGATTGTTCACATGTGAACAGCAGAGACTGAGGAGCAGACTAAGGCAGGGGTGGTGGATAGGATTCCAGAGTTTTGCAAAGAGAATTGAGCATTAGCTATACAAGGAAAACACCAGGACTACAGTGTAGACTCAACCTCCAAGGGTCAGAATTGTCTCAACAAAAGTCGACCTTGTATATAGTGAGGGTAAATGACAAAGAGTAAATAGTTGCGTGCCCTCCCTGGTGGCACAGGGTGCTAAAGCACAGTAATGAGAAGCGAATATCACTTCAGCATGAGTTCGATCCCTGGCCCGGGAGGTGATCCACATGGCGCAGCAGACCTCTCCTGACCCACCCGCTGCTCCCCTCAGCAGTGTACTTCATCAGTCGGCCTGTTCTGCTCCCCACTCTGTCTCTGGTGAATCCTCTCACCGCCTCTGCACCTCTGGCCTGTACTGCAGCTCTGTATGAGTAAATAAATAAATCTTTTTTTTTTTTTTTAAAGCAATTCAAACTTAAAAAAGAAAAAAGAAAAAACATATGCAAGAAATTCAAAACATGATTTTCCAAATAAAATAAGAGCTTTTCTCTTGTTCCCATAACATCCAGCAAGAATGGCACCTGTTGGTTATGGAGTCATTCAGGAACTCAAGCTAACTCTGCTATTTTCAACACAACCCATCTCTTAAGGTCTCCGGAGGCCATACCATTACAGATGAGGAACAGTGCTGATGAAAGTGTTTATGGGCCTGACCTGGAAGTGGCAAACAAGACGTCTGCCAGATTCTTTTGGCCAGAAGTTAATATAGCCACAGCTAACATGGGAGACTGGGGAGGACTATTTACCTGAATAGCCACCTGGTGATGAGGAGCATTTTACCGCCAACTGCCACCAGGTGCCTGGTGTTGTACCAAACATGTCAGCAGGTGCTTTCAATAGACTACCTCACCTAGTCTTTAACCAGTGTTAGGTGTGGTAGATACTATCATCTTTGTGATATTACCTCAGGAAACCGAGGTCCAAAAGTCTTAATAGTATGACAAAAATAAAAAATAAATATTTTTAAGACTAAAAGAAAAGCAAGAGTGAACAATTATGTTACTTTTTCATAAATCAAGTCCATGTTTTAATTGTATTAATAATTAAGAGATCCATTTGGTTCTCAGACTTTAAGATATCAAATTAAAATAAGGGTGGACTGTGGACTGTTCAACCCATCTTTTGGTTTCTAAGAGGATGAGTTGCTCTTTTGGTCTGACAGGTGGATGGATTACTTTTCCCTGCCAAAAAGTTCTCTGAAAACAATACACACAAGTACACACAAGTGTGCACACTCCCACGCAAGAGAATCAAAGTGACAGTTTGAGACTTCATGAGGGTAAACTTACATTGAAGAACAACACTTAGATGTAAAATATTCTCGTATCGATCTTTCATGATGATAAATCTTTGGAAAGAATCCATATGAAAGAGCTACTTACTGTCTATGTAGAATTTCCTCAGTAATTGCTCTTCCAGGAATTAGAAATTGAGACTGATTTCTAATAATCATCGAGGATAATGGTCCCAGTTTACGAGGTGATTATTCTTTTGCTAGGCTGTAGACCCTGTTGAAGATGGCTGCACCATTACCAAGATTATTTAGCCCACCTGTGTGTTTTTTTTCCTGCTTTTTCTCTTCATGTCCTCAGCCTCCAGGTCTGAAATTCAGTATTCCATATGCACTTTTTTTCTGTAAAAGATAAACATAAATGCAAGTAATAAAACACATGCCTCACTTCTTTTCCGCCGCTTATTACTGCAATGCTAAAAACAGATTATTTTTTAATAAATGAAAAATAAAAAGATAAGTGTGGGACGATCATTTCAAAGACAAAGGAGTTGTAATTTATGTCTTAGCTGTTCATCTCCACTGATTCTAACCTTTTATTTTTCTCTCATCCCAATAGGAATACTATGACAAAGGAGATTATATTATTAGGGAAGGCGAGGAAGGAAGTACCTTTTTCATTTTAGCAAAAGGAAAGGTAAATATTAATAAAAGCTTTCTAAATCTGTCTTTTGGAATGGGCTCTCCAAAAGTGCTGCAGTCCTTTGCAACATTACCCTCTGCATTGAGCAGGCTTGGGCGCCTCAACCCAGGAGAGGCTAGGCACTTATTTTGGGGGCATAGGAGAATTGGGATGGGTTCCCACTAAGACAGTAACTTCTCAATGACCTTAGACAGATCAGTTACTCTCTCTGGACCAGTTTTCATTGTGCAAAAAGTGACTAGATTATTTCTAAGGTCTTTTCTGTGAGTTTTACCCAAGGGTTCAAAAGCAGGGTTGGAATATTTTTCTTTCCAACAAATATGGCAAGCAGCTGTTGGAGGAGAATGAACTTGGCAATTGAGGATGTCTGTGGTCACCCATCAAGCTATAGAACAATGTGACTCAGAGTGTCAAATTCATGCAATAGCTCAAGTAGATATAGATGTGGATGAAAATGTTAAGCTAAATGTATAAGAGGTCTTTTTCTTTATTTAGATATTTAGTGGATCACCTGTTCTCAGTTGCAACTTTGTTCACTTTTAAGGGTTTTTCAGAGATAAGAAAGTATTTGTGAAAAACAGTAGGAAAGGTAAAATCTAAGTGCCTGGGTATATAGGCTATTGATTTTTACAAATAGTCTTTTTTACCATGGAAGAGCTTATCATCAGAAAGTCAGTCTCTGCCTTTTGTACAATGGATTGTGGTTGAACTTTGAATTAGGAAAAATTAACAATATAGATTTAAACCTCAGAAATTATTTGACACCCAGAGCTATTTTATGATTTCTTTCCAACCTTAATCCCATCCTATGAAAAATTATGACTAGTACACAAATTCCTTTTGTTATTTAAAAAAATTAATTCATTGTGACTTCCATAAATACTAATCAGAATTTCTAATCAGCGTGAAGCAACCATTGTTACAATGTTGAATTGAAATAATTCCAGTCACAAATATGGGATATTAAGGTTTTGTTTGGCTCAACCCTCAGGATTCTTGAACCTTTTGAGGCTCTTGAATACATTGAGACAACAGTGAAAGTTGTAGACCTTCCTCCGTATCCAATTTTTCTTACAGTTTTAGATTCTGTGAGTTAGTCAGTCAATGGATCCCAGATTCAGCACTCTTGTTAATGAGCCTTATTCTTATTACAATTTCACCTGAAATTAGTTTTTGAAGTAAGTTCCGACTAGGCAATGCTTATTTGCTTCAAGTATCCCTAGGAAGGAAATTGCATTCACACAAAACTTTTGATTTCGGGGAGGTGGCATTCTACTGGACAGTCTCCCTCCTCCAAAGGCGCCCTTCATTCGATCATAGGAAATCACAGGATTTCTTAGCCTGTCCATATGGAGAGACTTTAGCTTGTCATGACTACTACAAAGTTACAGCACAGGCTTGTCTTTTCCTTGTTCAGTCAAATTTGATATGTGTAGATAAATAGATACGTATGTAAGTCTATACATATAGATAGATAAAGGAGAGTGTTTAGGGCTTTAGTTGAGTGATTATGTGTTCAGAGTCTCCTTTTTTTGTTTAACAACATTTAGGTAAAAGTCACTCAGAGTACAGAAGGCCATGATCAACCACAACTGATAAAAACACTGCAGAAAGGAGAATACTTTGGAGAAAAAGCTCTTATCAGGTGAGCCCATGAATTTATATATCATACTTAAATAATTCTTGGATTATTACCAGTTTGTAACTGCTCATTTAAAATTGTCAAATTGAACCACTGAACTAATCATAGTCAGCATCCAGGAATTAAACAAAAATTTTAACTGACTTCTGAAAGTATTCATTGTTATGCAAAAATATAGTATATTCATTTTAGGTAGGAAACTAATGGGGTTTCTTAAGTTTGCCAGTAAAAATAAAATTGTTTTTCCACTAGGCTATTTAGTTTTAAAAAGAAAAATATTAATGAGTAAAATTATAATTTTCTTAAGAACTAGATTTTTAATTTCCAAGGTTTGAACTATCACCATTTTGCCCTTTTGAAAAATTATCAAATAATGACATTACATATTTTATGTGCTTTTAAATCATCTTGCCAAAAGTAGTATTTTTCTAAGATTTTTAAAAATTCACTTATTTTGTAAGTTGCAGAAGATACCCAAAATAGTGTGTTTGAAATTTCTAACTGAACCTTAGGTCTTTTGAGGTATGAGGTTATGTACTGTTGATCTAACTTATGGAGGAAATATTTATAAAGGTTAATAAAGTGGCTAAGGAGACACTTTGTACTTCCTGGAACTCAGAAAACAACCTCAAGTTGTTTTGAGGGTGTACTGAAGAAGCACATTTTCTTCAATATAAATAACTTTATAAAATATCAAGTCAAAGTTTTGAGGAATTCAGGTTTTTCTTTTTTGAGTTATATATGTTTTAAACCATTACTTGAAATTAGTTAAGAAATCACTTTAAATGTTACTACTACATACTTCTATTTCAAATTATACTTATAAAAAGGAGTAATATTTCTGTTCATTTATTGTCCTCTTAACTGTTGTCTAGGAAACCTTTTTTGATTTATATATGAGGGTTACATAAGTAAAGAACAAGGAAAAAGTGTTTATAAATGATCTGAAGACAAATTTGATTTAGAATTATATATCTCTTTTTAAAAGAAAGTTAACCATTTTAACACAGTTAAGTTATGGCTATTAGATAAGCAATTTGAAAATGAATTTAAAAACAAGCTGACTTTTTCTTCCCATTTTCTGGCTGGCAATGAATTCGTTCAGTAACAGGGAAGTTGTTCTTTTTTGCTTATCTGTACAGAGTAAAATACACTGGTGTACTGGCATCTTATGACATCATTATTCAGAGTTCAGTGTATTTGTTATTAAAGCTTATACATTATTTTCCACATAATACCAAGCAAAACAACTAGAACTTGAAAGTACACAGAATGTTTTAAAGTCAAATAGCTCTTGAAAGAAATATGCTCTCTGGTTTCACTGGATTTGAAATATTTTTTGCTGAATGTTGCAGCTAGCCAATTTCAGAATTTCTCTATGAGAAACATGGCCATTTATTTTTAATATAGACACTCAACTCTACAAATATTTGTAAGCATAAAGCTAAAACAAATGGGAGAGTGTATTGGATGCAAGTATTTTTACATTTTTGCACATTTTTTATGCTATCATTTTTTTAAGAACGTCAATGACTTAATATTCCTTATGTCCTATATATTTCTATCACTTGACGTTAAAATAGTCCAAGAAGTTCATTCACAGTTTCTATGCAAAAATAAAATGATGGCATTTACACAGTTGTGATGAAAGACATAGGTGTATTTATAAACATGTAATATTTAAAAGTGTTTGCAGAAAACATTCTTGGTGAAACTCATGCCAAGTAAAAAGGATTCCATACCTCTTTCCTTTTTTAAAATACCTACTCAGGGCTTCCCTGATGGTGCAGGGATTAAAGACTCAGCTCTATCAAGCTATCACTAGCCACTGCGGCATGAGTTCGATCCCTGCCCAGGGAGCTGACCCACATGCTCAGCAGACCTCTCCTGTCTTGCCCGTTGCTTCCCTCAGCAGTGTATTTCAGTAGATCTGCCTGCTCTGTTCTCCAGTTTGTCTCTGATGAATCCTCTCTCTACCCCAAGCACCTCTAGCCTACACCCCATTTTTGTGTGCATAAAAAATAAAACAACAAAAACAAAAAATCACTATTCAAATAGCTGTTGCACATCCAAGATCATGTGTATGTGTGTATATGTGGATGTATATGTATATATACATATCTAAATGTCTATAGATAGCTACACAATATAATTAAGTAAAATTTACCCAGCTTCGAATTCAAAAGCCCTTTAGGCTGAAATATTTTTATTGATTTTCTATAAGGATATGTGAACTTCTAAGGGACTGTGGGTTATGTGGATAGGAGAGTTCTTTGGAATTGTAGACATTGTGCAAAGGCTTTTCCAGTCCATCACTTGGGGAAGATGAAGGAACTAGGTGTGTAATACCATTTTTGATGAAGTTCAATATTCTTGCTACTCTAGGTTATTTTATATGAATCTCAGTACATAAATCTGGTTACGATATGGGTATTCCTTTTTTCAGGATCTTTAGTTGAGGAAACCTGACCAAGATCTCTAAAGAAATTGCTTCCTTTGGTGCTTGATTGATTGGTATTCAGTAGGTAGTGAAATGTGCCATCATTTGATCATATGTCAGGATTCACTATATTTAAGATAGCAATAGGCCCTTTGTTACATTACATACCCTAGAGGATAAAAGACAATGTGTTAATTACTCTTGGATTCATCATCTGCTGTAAAACATGCTCTGATACCAGAGATTTTAATGGGAACCATACATTTTAAATTCTATGAAAGTATTTTGGTATTTATTTAATTCATCGATGATATGGCTCTAAAGATTTCTGGGTTTGATCCTTGATTGTTTTCTTATATGCTGATTACTTGAATGTTTGACCAATAAACTTTATTCAGTCAGTGAATTTCAGTCTTGCTTGCTTATTAGTTAGCAATTCCTCTTTGGTCAGAAGCTAGTTGTTTTATTTTGGCTGACACAAAGCAAAAAATGAGGTGCATACACAGTTGCAATCATGGATTCCTCTTTCTTCTTAGGGCAGTTATCTTTCTAAATTCCTGTGGGGATGTCACTGGGACAATTCGAACTCCGGTTTTTTTTTGAAAGGGAGAATAAATTGTGATGCTTAAAATAAAACCCACAGTCTAAGCAAGGTTTAAGTAAATCATGTTTAAAGTAACAGATTCCCTAATACAAAATGGATGTTTAATTTCTGACTATAACATTGACTTTCTTGTTTTTGTCTACAGTGAAGATGTCAGATCAGCTAACATTATTGCAGAAGAAAATGATGTCGCCTGCCTGGTTATAGATCGAGAGTGAGTATGCTGATGTTGTCGGGAAGGCAGGCTCCTCGCCCCTTGGAAGACTTGGCCTTCTGTTACTCCCAGGGCCATCTGTCTTCCCATTCATCACCACTTGGAAATGTTGGCCAATCCTCAGCTGCGAGTACATTCTATTAAAATTCATGGGAAGGAACTGGGCCTTCTGATCTGAATCTGTCTGTGGCAGTGGCAGATGCTGGCAGGCTAAATATTTTGTGTGCAAAGTTTGTACATAAATATCAGCAATAGATTGACTTAAATTATGCCTCTTCAAGAGAAATAAATTTACTGGTAGTCCTATGGATTTTTCCCACACAACGTAGGGAACAATTTTATAATTTATTTCTAAAATGCTCGGCATTTCCAGGGTTGTTTTCATTTAACATTGTAGTGGTTGGGCCGCTGTGGTGGAGTAAGGGTTTGTGTCAGAGCTATCATGGCTTTGACATGATTTCAATCGTAGGCCAGGGAGCTAACTCACACATGGCGCAGCAGACCTCTTCTGGCTCACCGCTGTTCCCCTCAGCAGTGTATTTCAGTAGATCTGCCTGTTCTGCTCCGTACTCTGTCTCTGGTGAATGTTCTCACACCTGTAGTCTACACCCCAGGTTTTCTATGTTTAAAAAAAAAAACAACAACTAAAAATAACATTGTAATACTATATAAATAATATGTCAATATTAACCTCTAAATGTTTTAGGCTATTTTTCAGAATAAGTATCCTTTTATGTATTTAATCTGGCCTCTTAAATATTTGAATATTTACTAGTTATCTAGCTATAATAAGAATATTAAAATATACAAAAGATAGTTCTATCTAAATGTCAGTATGCTATGAAAGAAATAGGGCATATGCATAATGAATATGGACAAAAACAATAAAATGGTAAGAGCTACACAAGTAAGTTTGTGATGGACTGCTCACTGAACACCATTTATTGCACATAAAATCACTGAGATTGAGAGCTGGAGTATATAGCTGGAGATTATAGGTAGAGTATTTTGAAATCTTTTTATTTGGTATTTACAAACATTAAATAAGATAGTATCATAAACCCCATAAAACAATTTCAATAGTTATTAGTTTGTGATGATCTATCCCATTTTGTCACCCCCTTCTCTCTCTGTTTTCTGTATCCTATTTCTGAGCAACTTCCAACCATAGATTATTTCACTTTATAACTTTTAGCAACATCCGTAAAAGCTACATATTACTGCATCACTACAATAACACCAAGTGCCTAAAATGCCAACAATGAATAGTAGTATTACTTTGAGTTATAAAATTATCTTTCTTACAGATAAGTGTGTCCCAGATGGTTTGAAGGATGCCGGGTAGAATGCTAAGTGAAACTGTCAGAAAAAGAAAGAATATGTATTGTTATCACTCATTTGTGGTAGATAAAGAACAAAACGAGTGAACAAGCTAAGCAAAACAAAAACAAACAGGTTACAAGAAAAAAAGAAAGAGCTCTTAAATAGGGCAAACAGGTCAGTGGTAAGGTGATGAAAAGAAACCAGAACTCTGGTGGCAAACAGAATGCAGTAGATACCTATGCTAATTGAAGTGTGTGTGCACCTGCAATTTGTAAGCCAATAGGACTTCAGTTAAAAAAGTACAAGGGGCCTTCCCTGGTGGCGCAGCGGGTTAAAGCACAGCACTGAGAAGCTAAGGCCACTTCCGCATGAGTTCCATCCCTGCCTGCCCCGGAGATGACCCACATGGTGTGGCAGACCTCTCCTGACCCGCCCGCTGCTCCCCTCAGCAGTGTACTTCGTCAATCTGCCTGTTCTGCTCCCTGCTCTGTCTCTGGTGAATCCTCTCACCCTCCGCATCTTTGACCTGTACCCCAGTTCTGTATGAATAAATAAATAAATCTTAAAAAAAAAAAAAGGTGCAAGGAATTGCCCTGCTAATGCCATTTGGGATGGAGTAGGGCTCCTGTCCAGTTCTGATCCCTTTGTTTCCAGAGCATGTGTTCAAAAAGTTTAGTGATCACAATTCAGTAAAGGGGGCCAAATTTTATTTTATTTTTTTAAGTGTGGAAATAGGACTTCATAAAAAGGTAGATTTTTTTCTAGGCAAAGAGGAAACATGGAAGTCCATGCAAATGAACTTCAGAACAAAGGCACAGAACTTGGAAAGGGATGTTAGAAGAGATTAACTTTGGATATTAGCTCTCAAATGGAAAGTAGATTGGTACATGATTGTTCCAAGAAATGTGTTGTTTTATGAGTTCTGCAAAAGTGCATGCATGCACTGAAGTAGTTAGCTGTGTGATAAAATCTTATAAATGGTTTTGGAATGCTAGGATGAAAAATATGATGTCTCCTTTTCCTCTATTTTACACAGTTATACCAAATATTTACTTGCGTAATTATCATCTTAAAGAGGATGCAGTAATTGTTATAGTTTACAGATTATTTGGAAGTTTGTAGTTTTAAAATGTTTCATTTATATGTAGTTGAGAAGATACAAGAATAGAACATATTACAATAAGACATAAAAAGTTAAATAACTTTTTTCTGTGGTGTAAGGAAGCTAAATAGCAAACATGATGCCACCCTGGATTTCCTGAGATATTCTGCTTGTCCCAGCATATTTATTATGGGCATCCTCTTCCTACTAAACGTAGTTAGTCTGGATGACAAATTATACATCATCCTCCCTGTGGTTTACGGGCTAGATTAGGATCTATGCTAACCCATAATACCCTATATACTTTTCTCATATCGTTATTCACACTTTACTTAATTGTTTTACTTAACACCCGTCTTCCCACTCTCCTGTCGGCCTCCTGAGTGCAGAAACATTTATTTGTCCACTGCTGCTGCAATGCCAGCATCTGACTGTCCTTGGCACATGGACGTGCTCACCAGACATGGGCTGAACCAATGGGCACCATCCTTGCAATGAACTCTAGTGTCTGAAAGTCCATGGCTTTTTACTTTATTTTTATAAATCTTTGATTTAAAAAAAAATGCATAGAATGATTCCACAGCACAAAGGAGACTTAACATTTGATTGTGTTTCCTGTTTTTAGATGGAATAAAATATGGGTAATGAAGAAGAAGGCAGTAGCTTTAAGCACATGGCAGTGTTATCTGTGACATTTCCATCACTGATGGCAGGGACAGAGCTCAAAGAAGTTGATTAGTTGCCCCTCAGGCTGTCTGATTCAAATAAGTACAAGCTGCCCATATGCTACTGGAGCAGCTAGAATGTTACAGTGCTTTATATTTGATGTTCAGTTTAGTTTGTGAAGTGTTTCTCAGAACCTATGGTGTCAGTGTCATCTCCCTTTAAGATAATCAAATTTGCTTACAGCAGTGCTTGAATTGTGGCTCTGTTCCTATATTTCTCACTTCTCTGCATTTAATGGATGGGAGTCCATATAGAAGAATGAAGAGTAGAGTTTGAGACAAGTAGAAAATAACCAGTGTATGAGATAGATATACTGTTTACTGTATTATATATATAATATATGTGTAACATCTGTATGGATTGGTGATCAGTGGATGAGAGTTGAAGTCTTTGGAGCCAGGCAATCAGGGTGTAGTGACCACACACACATGTGTGGGTCCTGGTTTACTACATTTTACATATTTTGAGATCAATTTTCATTCCACTCCACTCATTTTTCGATATTTTGGTGCTTTAGGCGTGGCAAATTGATTATAGTATGTTTCCCAGGAGGACACTATTGTGTAGTAGGGAAATAATGCACCCTGGCAATCATAGATCAAGGTCGATTGTCAAATGTGGAAGTGGTAAAACATTGCAAAGATTGCACTCTTGAGGAAGGTTCTTTTTTTCTTATCTGCAGTGTGGTATGTGATAGCTGCCAGAGACAACATATAGGGAGGGTCAGGGAGATTAGAGAAGACACATAACCAATCTAGTCTCTGTGAAGGGCGAAGGCTGTCAAGGGGGGATGTTGGCTGACTGTCAGAGATGTACTCAGTTAAGGTACAAATTTGGATTTAATTTTGAAGGAATGTGAAATGAGGAGTATTGTCTGAGGACAGAGAAGAAATCAATTTTATCCTTGAATTGAAAATAAATAGCTTAATTTGATTAAGCAAATTTAGAAAAATATCTATAACCCATGAAAACTTTTGATTCTATAGACCATCTAGGTGATTTCCTTTCTACTATCTTCTTAAAAACAAGAGATAACTAATGGCAAAGCTGATAGGAATATTTCTCTTCTCACCGACAGCCTCTTTGTTTTTATATATTTACATTGGTAAATATATAATTTCTAATAGCTATGTTATGACAACTTTAAGATAACTATTATTGAAAACTGTTAAAAAGCCATGAATGACCCTATAAAACCTGTTTCTGAGTTCAAAAAGAATGTCAAGTTGCAATGGTAACCACCCATATAGAACTTTTGATTTTATTCTCTTCATCTAGAACCTTCAACCAAACAGTTGGGACTTTTGAAGAATTGCAAAAATACCTGGAAGGTTATGTAGCAAACTTGAACCGTGATGATGAAAAAAGACATGCAAAGTAAGTAGAGGAATATGAATTTGGCAACTGATAAATTTGAGGAAAAAGGGATGCTTTGTCATGTTGTATCTTTGTGAGCCTTAATAGAAGGTGGGGTGTATGTGGGGGAGTTCATTTTAATTGTTTCACAAAAAGGTCACTCTTGGCCCTCCCTGGTGGCGCAGCGGGTTAAAGCACAGCACTGAGAATCTAAAGCCGCTTCCGCATGAGTTCGATTCCCGCCTGCCCCGGAGGTGACCACATGGCGCGGCAGACCTCTCCTGACCCGCCCGCTGCTCCCCTCAGCAGTGTACTTCCTCGATCTGCCTGTTCTGCTCCTCACTCTGTCTCTGGTGAAGCCTCTCGCCGCCCCTGAGCCTCTGGCCTGTACCCCAGTTCTGTATGCACAAATAAATAAATCTTAAAAAAAAAAAAAAAGGTCACTCTTTACCACTAGTGAAGATATTATTTTAGTCTGCAAGTATCTAGATCTTATTTTTGTGTGAGATAAATCAAAATGTTGGGGAGAAATTTACTGATAAGGGGAAAGAATTTCTTTATCTGGTCTCTTAGTATGAAAGAATGTTAATACAGAACAAAGCCCACTTTCCTCTTTTCCTAGAAATTAAACAGGAAAGCTAAGGCATAGAGTAGCCCACTCATTTTCATTCTAGGTGAAGAATTTCTCTTTCTCTGCAGAGACGAATTAGGTAGAGTTCGAAATTTAGTATAAAGATGAAAAGTTTTTCAGTTAACAGAAAACGCTAATCGAAAAATTCACATTATTTGAAAATCCTTTGCTAAAACATTTTGTAGAGAGAACATATAAACTTACATTCACCAAATTGTACTGTCAAAAGTGGACTCTACAAAACTGAAGTTTGAGCAAAATGAGAGCATTCAATCAGGACCCTGTAAGTTCTGATTGATACGCCAAGAATTTACTTTGTAGTAGCAACAATTTATACATACATAACCCACAACAGTAAACTTTAACTAAGAGGAAAAAAAAGAAACCTTTCAAAAAAGAAAAAGAAAAAAAAAAAGAAAAAAAGAATTTTTTTTTCATGTTTCACAGAACCCTTCTTCAGGATCTGATAAAAATAGAACAGCCAAGATTCTCAGTGTGGCATTTTCCTGTCTGTGCAGCAAAGGAAATGGCTCTCTGGTTTCATTTCCTCTCATTGGCTTTTTAAAAACTCTATTGAGATGTATTTTAAATACCACATAAATCACCCCATTTACCTCTCTGAGTGAATTTGACATTTGTCCTTATTGTGTGTGTATGCGTGTGTGCATGTCATTTTGTTGTTATTGTTTGCTTTTCTCCCCAGATGTGACTAAATATGATGCTGTAAAAGTTGAGATAGCCTTTGGGGGAAATGTGGGGAGTAACAATTAGCAGAATTAAGATGATTATAATAGTGGAATTTATGGGTTGGCATGACCCCTACTTGACTAAGGGGTGTATTTAAAATCTCACTTCTCTTGCACAGGCGATCCATGTCTAACTGGAAGCTGTCCAAAGCACTCTCTCTGGAGATGATTCAGCTGAAGGAGAAGGTGGCCAGATTTTCCTCATCATCCCCATTCCAGAACCTTGAGATTATCGCAACACTGGGCGTTGGTGGGTTCGGAAGAGTTGAGCTTGTAAGGGGTTTACGTTTCAAGCATCTGAGAGAGCCTTTTGACTATTTTTTTTGTTTGTTTTATATTCCAGTGCGTCTTGCAGCAATATCTGACTTGCCATTGCTATCATCAGTGTTGATATTGAGAAAGTAAACTTTTCACTCTATTGTGTAGTATCTGGTGCATGCTAGTAAGTTGTAAAAATATAGCTGCTACTTCAAGCTTTTAACATCACATCTTCTGATGAATTGTTTCTTGATGGTAATTATTGGAGAATATGCCAAGGAAGCGTTCCCAGAGTCTATAAAACTTTAAAAAATGTATTTCCTATCAGCAAAATATAGGCATTCATGCTCTCATGACACATCACTATGTACGAAAGACAAGAAGACTGTCCCGTGGGCGTGCCAGAGAAGTGGCATCTTTAATAGTACAGTCCACCTCTTCAACAGCTCCCTCCCTTGTCTGTATTTGGCTTTCATTGTCCTATTTTTGGGTTGTTCAAATTTTTCTAGTAGAAAAAAGGGAAAGAATATGAACGCGAGGGGAGGTTTGAAGAGCAGCCTTCTGTCGTGTCGACTGGGGACAGCTGGCGACTTCCGGCCTGATGCCACTGCATCACCACCTCTCTGAGCTTTATAAAACCAGCTTCTGAAGAGACGCAGAGTGGCACTGTCACGTCAGGTGCTTAGAGAAACCTGGAGAATGGAGATCTGTGACCTTACTGTGTACACATGGCTCTGAGCTCCTGGCAATTAAAGCCCTTCTCTCCCGAGCAATTTTTAAATGATTCTCTGTACATTAACCTCTGGTAACTATGCTGACACATCCATCTGATATGAAATGCTGCCAGGATACTCTGGGATAGTACACTTCACACCCAGTCAGTACTTCATCTTTGATGGAGAGGAGGAAAGGAAGGGTTTTTTGATAGACCGAAGAGTACATGTAGTGTTTGGAGAAATAGGGGCAATCTCATCTGCCAAATAATCTTGGCAAAAGGATTGAATTAACAATGCTGAGATCAAGTTTTTCTCTCTAGCTAGTTAATAATTATTGAATCAGTAATCCCACGTTCATTTAAAAGTCATAGCAGCACCAGTGGCAAACATGAGAGCAGTTATTTCTGTGCAGTATTTTACTTGACATATAGATTGAGTTTTAAACCTATCTGGATAATTATCTACTAATATATATATAGATCTATCTATCTATCTATCTATCTATCTATCTATCTATCTATCTATCTATCTATCTATCTATCTATCTATCTATCTA